GTATCAAACCAACGTTGTACATTTTAAGCTTATCCAATGTTATGTATCCATCGTATCTCAATAAAATAATAATAATTTGAAAATTAATAATTAATGAAAAAAGAATAGCTATGACATCTGTTCCCTGAAGTAAAACACAAATGTCTCCTGACCTTGTCACATGTCCTCTGAGAGGCAAAATTGCCCAGGTAAGAACTGCCACCTTCCTATAAACACCATCTCCTGCCTTGTATTGCCCGTAAAGATGTAACCTCATTGTGGACATGACAGATGGGTCTATAAAGGGCTGAGCAGTTTTGACCCAGAAGCACTTTCCTAGAAGAGTAGCAGTCAGTGTTATTCTGAACATGATATTTGCATGTACAGTGTATGTATTTGGCATCTGTAGAATGAATATTTGGGTACCTTCCATATTCCAGGCCCCTGCATGATATGCTGATGAGGAACAGAATGATTCACAACCCTGTTCTGTACATTCCTACCCTTTCTCCACTCACTCACAATGATTTTCCCAGTCACTTCTAGGAAAGAATGGATTGGGAAGCAGCACTGGGATGTAGAGAGGCAAACGATGATGCATGAAGTCAAGAAAATGTGGTTTCTGTTTTCCCAGGCTGGACAAATCTGCGTTTGATGAAGAGACTCAGATGCTACTGACCGCTGTGGAAGAGAAAAATCCCCACCTGACCATTTCCCACCAACTTTGGGTCAACGAAGAGTACAGGGTCAGGGGTGTGCTCTCTTGATGGGGAACACCTCAAGTAAATGTCTCACAAAGGCTTCTCCTTAGTCACAGTGGGTGTTCTCATCCTGACATACCCTGTCCTATAAACTGTAATTCATGGCTGTGGGGGCTGTGATTTCAGACCTGTCCCTTTACAGCGTCCTAGCGATGTGACAGTGGAATGTGACTCAGTTTATAAGTGTCAACTGTGCCTAAGTCCCCACCCCCATCTTTAAAATTCCCACCCTCCCTTGCAGTATTTACAGGAATACATTAAATGGATAAACACTTTGGAAAGCATGACTTTATTTTCTTAGTGGGTGTCTTGGGATGGAGGTAGGTGCTTGGATTTGAAGGAACCATAATCCTCTGACAATTTTGACTTAGAAGTGATGGTAGAATGTGTCTATAGATTTTAGGTTTTATTTGCTGTCCCTACATCCAGCATCCACCCAAACTTTCCATTTTTAGTTTGTACAAATTGAGATTTGATCAGTTTTGTGGTCAAATAATAAAAATACATTTCCAAATCTCGACTTATCTTTTATTTTTATTTTTTCAAATATTTCTTTATTTTTTGGGAAAGTGCAAGCAGGGGAAGGGCAGAGAGAGGGGAACAGAGGATCTGAAGCGGGCTCTGTGCTGACAGGTTGACAACAGCAAGCCTGATGTGGGGCTTGAACTCATGAACTGTGAGATCATGACCTGAGTTGAGGTTGGATGCTCAACTGACTGAGCCACTCAGGTGCTCCTCTACATATCCTTTAGAATATGCTACTCCAACAGCTTTTAAAAAAAATTCAGTATTCTTCAGGCACCTGGGTGACTCAATTTGTTAATCTGACTCTTGATTTTAGCTCAGGTCATGATCTCACGGTTCATGAGATCTAACCCTGTGTCAGGCTCTGCACTGACAGTGTGGAACCTGATTGGGATGCTCTCTCTCCTTCTCTCTCTCTGACCCTCTCCCTCCCTCTCAAAGTAAATAATAAACATAAAAGAAAATTCAGTATTCTTTTTTTCACTTGCATCTACAGACTTTAATTCAATGTTTTCTTTTTCAAACATACATAAATACATTGCTTAATTAAATATGGCCTAGTTTTCTGTTGCCTCTACCATAAATTATTCATGCCTTATTGACCCTATATAGAACTCAATTTTGGTTGAATATTAAAAATTTATTTATTTTTAATTTTTTTCAAATTTATTAAAATTTTTTTTTTCATTTATTTATTTTTAAGAGAGTGAGACAGAGCACAAGCAAGGGAGGGGCAGAGAGAGAAGGAGACACAGAATCTGAAGCAGGCTTCAGGCTCTGAGCAAGTGTTCAGCACAGAGCCCGACAAGGGGCCTGAACCCACAAACTGCAAGATCATGACCTGAGCTGAAGTCGGTCACTTAACTGAGCCACACAGGTGCCCCTAAAATTTATTTATTATTTAATTTACATCCAAGTTAGTTTGTATATGGTGCAACAATGATTTCAGGAGTAGATGCCACTTACCCATTTAGCCCATCCCCCCTCCCACAAACTTTGAGCAAACTTTATTTTTCAGAGCAGTTTTAGGTGCACAGCAAAATCAAGAGGAAGGTACAGAGATTTCCCATACATCCCTTGACCCTATTTATGCCCCCATAAATTGACAAATCTCAGTCCTGACTCTCTCCCACTTGTGTTGTATTTGTTGTTGCCATTGTTGAAATTGGCAAGCTTATTCTAAAAATGTTAAAATGCAAAAAAATGTAGAATATCCAAACCAATCTTGAAAAGCAACTAATTGACTTGCCATAATTAACGTTCATAGGATTGAGGGCCATCTTCTCATCTTGTGAATTTTCTCTTTAATGTTTTGCCCAATTTTCTATTTGCTTTATGGCCTTTTCCTTGATTTTAAAGAATCTCATGCTACCCTACCATCTGTCCTACATATTACTTCTCCCTGAATCTTGTGTGTACATCTGGGAATACTTCTTCCCAAGGCAAAGTCTGAAAATAAAGGACAGCCTGATTGACTGATGAGAGACGAGGGAGCAGTGCCCTCTGGATGATTTGGGAAGCAGGTCACAACCTCCTGTGGAGGTACATGGACATTGGGGCTGCCCATGGATTCTGAGGCAGGATAGACTAGCTTCAAGTGGGATATTCTCCAGGAGTAAAAGACATGGGGCCATAAATGGTAAGAATTGTGGTATTTAAGTCAGAGGAGAGACTAGGTACCAGATCAAAGAGAGATGCTCAGTATGAGCCAATTGTGGTGTTGGCCCGATTCTGGAAACACGAAGGCATTGAGGAAAATACCCATTTGGAGATATTATGAAAGAGACCCTTGACCCAGCCTTGAGTTACAATTCTACTATGGATGGCAATGCTGACTCTGAACTTAGATTTTTCCACAGGGAACATAGAAACAGCTATTCTTCAGGAACCTCCCATCAGTTACCAAAAATTACCATTAATTACCAGAAGTGGCTTGTAAAGACTTGCAGTGGGGATAAAATCCTCTCATTAGAGATGCCCCAGACTCTCCATGCAGACAGTGTCACCTAGACTACACATGACATGGTAATGGCATCTCTGGGGGGAGATCAGGTCTAGGGGCCCTATAACTATGGCTCATCCTGGTTGACACTTCTCTGCACAAAGCTCTGGAGCAAAGACAAGCCAGGTGAGTGCTTCTTTATGTTCAGTCTCAGGGCAATAACCAGGAGACAAGGAGTCTGCAATAGGACAAGGATTCAAAACTGGGTTTGTGCAGTAAGGTTGTAGAGGTGCTCTGGCTGGGCTGGTGACTAGTGCATATGTTCTGGGGAGTGTCCCTGGGGGGGACTACAGTGGGGAGATTCACTGCAGATCTCTGTGTGCTAGGGTCCCTGCCAAGGAGAGAGAAAGAAGATGGGGATCTCGTTGGGCTCTGAGCCAAGCTTTGGATGAGCAAAGCCACTGACCTTAGCCATGTTCAAAAGTCTGCTAATTTTCTCAGACCTAACAGATTTTTAGGCTTGTGTGTATATACAAATAGAAACTTCATGTGTAGAGCTTAGGTTATAACTTCAAAATCCTGACATTAATAAGATCCGTTGACACACACATTCATGTACAAACAGATATTCCGAGAGAAAAACAGTCTGTGGTGTAATGATATTAAGATTTAATGACCCTATTTTTTTTTTCTTTCTGAAATCCTACTGCTAGAGGATGCAATTGCCTCTTTTATTCCTCCTGAGATTTTTGGGAGGTCAGTTTTTTGGTTTTGTTCTGTATTGTGTGTGTGTGTGTGTGTGTGTGTGTGTGGCATCAAGAGAAAAAAATGTTAGATGAATTATGTTTAATTTTCAAGTCTCAGAAGTAGTTTGGAGGAACATACCTGATCTGTTCTTCCCATTTAACATAGTAATACATTTTCTTCATATCCCTGGTAGTGGTAGATACTCAAAACAAGGGAAAAAAATACTACCTACCATAATCAAAATTTCTACTCTTATCACTTTTAAAAAAATTATTTAATGTTTATTTATTTTGGAGAGAGAGAGAGACAGAGACAGAGTATGGGCAGGGGAGGGACAGAGAGAGAGGGAGACACAGAATCCGAAACAGGCTCCAGGCTCTGAGCTGTCAGCACAGAGCCCAATGTGGGGCTCAAACTCACAAACCACGAGATCATGACATGAGCCAAGGTCAGACACTTAACCAACTGAGCTACCCAGGCACCCTGTCTACTTTTAACACTATATGGGAACTAACTTTCCTCTGGTCACTGTGATCAACACTTGACATGGAAATCACATTGTGTGTTCACTCTGAGGACATTTTAGGGTCATATTGTATATTCAGAAGGCTACTGATTTTTTTCCTTCTGTCTAATCACTCTGATGAATAACGTTAAGAGTTCTCGAAAGCTGACAGTTGATTTTCTTGCAATTTTAATGAGTTATATTATCTTATACATTTGAACATGGGTTTGCATTTTCCTACTTCATTATCTTAGGTTAATGAATTGTGGTGACAGGATAATTGTGAACTCTAAAAGGGGTACAGTGTGCCTGTCTCCTCTCACTCATTTATTCACTAAATGTATATTTATTTAACACTTTTTGTGGGTCAATCATATTTTTTTTTAACAAGGCAGGCATGGTGCTTAGATTCATGGCAACTTACATTTTGGCGAAGAGTCAGATTATAAAAGTAAATAGAAATACAAAGTAATAACGTGAAATTGTGAATTGGTGTCCATGACATGCTCTCAAGGTTGAGTTGCCTGTAGGATATGACTGTGTCTCCATTTTCAGAAGGAGAAAAGGCCCAGGATCCCTTCATGAGGTCATGTAAGTATAAGAAGAGTCCTTATGCCAGCACTAACACAGCCTGCTGTTCACTCCAGACCGCCCTGAAGCATCCACCATGTCTTTTCAGAACAATGTCCAAAGAACCACAGGGGAAATGGCTCTGACAACCATCTTGCTTTTCCAGATGGGCATTGGGACTCTGGCCAATGTCACCCTCTTCTTTTTTAATGTCTCTCCAATCTTGTGTGGACACAAGCAGAGGCTCCCCAACACCATTCTCACCCACAAGGCTGTAGCCAATCTCTTAGTTCTTCTCTCTGCTGGGATTCCCCACAAGATGGCGGCTTTTGTTTTTGTTTTTGTTTTTTTTTTTTAATTTATATATGAAATTTATTGTCAAATTGGTTTCCATACAACACCCAGTGCTCATCCCAAAAGGTGCCCTCCTCAATACCCATCACCCACCCTCTCCTCCCTCCCAACCCCCATCAACCCTCAGTTTGTTCTCAGTTTTTAAGAGTCTCTTATGCTTTGGCTCTCTCCCACTCTAACCTCTTTTTTTTTTTTTCCTTCCCCTCCCCCATGGCTTTTGTTTTGAGGAAACCCCTGTCCAGTCTTGGGTGTAAATTGGTATATTATGTACACAGAGTAGCTCGCAGCACCACCATGTGCTGCACCTGTGTCCTGAGCACCCATCATTTCTTCATACTCATCCCAGAGAGGGCAGTGTGGACGATGCTCAGAGGAAGAGCCCCCAAGATCATTGATCCTTCCTGCTGTATCTGCTGGATGTTCAGTGTCTTAATGAATATCTATGTTCCTGTGAAAGTTACTGGTTCACAGGACACAGGAAACAGCAGTGACATCCTCAGGAAGTGGTTCTGCTCATCCTCCACTCTGAGTGCAGGCACTGTCATTCTGTGGTTTGTCTCCGATGCCATGTTTATTGGTCTCATGATCTGGTCCAGTGGCTCCATGGCGCTGTTCCTGTACAGGCACCACCAGAGAATGCAGTATATTCACACCCCCAATGGCTACCGCAAATGTTCCCCGGAGACCAGAGCTGCCCACACCGTCCTGATGCTGGTGGCCACCTTTGTGAACTTTTATGTGCTAAATTCCATTTTTGTGTTTTATGTCACTGCCTTTTTAGATTTCCGTCTATGGTTGATAGAGATTTCTAATATTTTGGCTTCATGTTTCCCCACTTTTAGCCCCTTCTTGCTGATCCTTCGGGATTCTGGGGTTCCTAGGTCCCACTCTTGAGTTGTTAGAAATCAAATGTAAATATGCAGAAGACAGCTTAGCTTTGATAACTACCATGATCACTGTATTCAGTGACCGTTTACTCAGCACTGTTTTTTTTTACATAATATCCACAGTGATCTTAGAGGGTGACTTTGATACTGGGGTTGCACCAAGAGACCTCAAAGTCAATCTGCAAATTATGAGCTTGAAACAGACACACAAAGTTGTTGAGGAAACATGTCTCCCCCTTGACCACTGCAGCTGCTGAAACGAATCTGTTTTCTTCAGGAGTATTCGAAGTGTTTCTGCAAATTTTATCTCAGTGTGGGCATGCCGGACACACTGGCATACATTGGTACATAAATCCAATATTTATGTAGATAAATACAACTCCATGGAGGGCAGAGGCTTTATTTCATGGATGCAGGTAAGAAACCTGGCAGATGGAGGAGTTTTCTATGTGACTTTCTTACTGTATTTCACTCCTGTTTCCCTAATATGCTGTAGTATTACACAGAAAATCAATGTTGTCCAATGGATTGCTTTGCCTTTGAACCTTGCAGATTTTCTTTACATGGTTGAGTTCATTGATCAGATAAACAAAGTAGGAGTGCCTGGGTGGCTCAGTCGGTTGAGCATCGGACTTCAGCTGAGGTAATGATCTCGCAATTCATGAGTTCGAGCCCTGAGTCGGGCTCTTTGCTGACAGCTCAGAGCCTGGAGCCTGCTTCAGATTCTGTGTCTCCCTCTCTCTCTGCCCGTCTACTGCTTGGACTCTGTCTCTTCAAAAATAAATAAACATTAAATACGCTTAAAAAAAGATAAAGTAATATTGAGGGTTAAAGCTACCATTTGTAGATTTGTCATTCAGATTTTTTAGTTTACCACTGAAATATAGAAACTAGGGACTTAATTTTGTCTTTATCCCATCTGCTTTTTTCTTTGTTTTTCCTTTTGCCTCTTTTTGGGATGTCTGATATTTCTAATAGTCCCCTTTAAAAATTAGTGGTGACAGGGAGCCTGGGTGGCTCAGTTGGTTAAGCGTCCAACTTCGGCTCAGGTTATAATTTCATGGTTTGTGAGTTCAAGCCCCATGTTGGGTTCTGCTGTGACAGCACAGAGCCTGCTTGGGATCTTCTGTCTCCCTTTCTCCCTGCCCCCTCCCACTTTCACTTTCTATCTCTCTCAAAAATAAATAAAGATTGAAAAATTAATGGTGTTAAGGTATAACTATTTTTAGTGGTTGTTGTAGCTGTTTTAAAGTGGCTTTCCAGGGCACCTGGGTGGTTCAGTCATTAAGTGTCCAGCTTCAGCTCAGGTCATGATCTCACAGTCCATGAGTTTGAGCCCCGTGTCAGGCTCCGTGCTGACAGCTCAGAGCCTGGAGCCTGCTGCGGATTCTGTGTCTCCCTCTCTCTCTGCCCTTCCCCCACTCACAGTCTGTCTCCTTCCCTCTTTTAAAAATAAATAAGCATTAAAAAAATAAAAATAAATAAAGTGGCTTTCCAAAATGTTATATCCTAGTTAGAACTACTATTGACCATTTCACAGAATATGTAAGAATTTTACAATAGTGTAATTCCATGTATCTTATAATTTTTATAAATTTTTATTCTACATATGTTATTACCCACAATTAATGCTATTATTTTTTGCTGTCACGAGCCAGTTGTCTCTTATAGAAAATAAGGAATTATAATATAGTACAGATTACACATGTATCCATATGATTGCCAATTCTGCTGATAATAATCCTTTTGTGTGTATTTTCCTCTGGTAGAATTTTCCTTTAGTGTTAAGCACCTCCTTCAGCTGTTTTGGAATACAGGTTTGTTCTGTGTGAATTGTTTCAGTGTTTATTTATTTAAATATATATTTATTTCACTTGCTGTTTTTCCTATTGTACAAAATGTCTATTTGAAAAAAAGTAATAAAATATGATCAATGATAAAAATATTTAGCAATATCCAATCTCATTTTAAAAATTGAGAAATTCAATGCCTTTGAATTATTTTTATTTTTAAAATTATTAATTTGAAATAATTTCAAATATACATAATTTTCTTTCTTCCCCAGGTACCCCAATAGTTAACATTTACCACACTTATTTATCAACTAATTTCTGTGTGTTATATTCTGTTATCACTTTTTTTTTTCTGACTCACTTGAGAGCAATGTACATACAAGATGTACATCATCCCAAACTCACTAGTGTGGTTTTCCCTCATACAAAGACATGACTACATAACAATATTCTGTCCTTTGATTTAGAAAATCAATGTAGATACACCACCACTGCTGTGTCCACGGGTCATACTCAAATTTTCCAAGAGATCCAAAAACATCTCCTTTTCCTTTCTGGTTGGGATTCCCAACTGGGAATGTGTGCTATGCTTTGTTGCCCATCTCTCTTCCTTCTTCTCCAGGCTCAAACTGTTAGGATGACTTTCCCTTTCTTTTATATTTTCACCCTGTTTTGTTCTGTTGAATGACACTCCCCTGGGTCTCTCTGGGCTTCTTACGACCAAACTCAGCTCACACTTCCTTGGTAGCAGGACCTTGGAAAAGAGGCTGTCCTCTTCCCAATGTTTCTCATCATGGCACATTATGGGGAGATGTCTTTCCTTTTTTAGGTTTATTTACTTATTTTTAGAGAGCAAGAGAGCTCAAGTGGGGAAGGGATAGAGAGGCAGAGCGAATCCCAAACAGGCTCCACATTGCCAGTGCAGAGACTGATACAGGGCTCAAACTCACGAACTGTGAGATAACCTGAGCTGAAGTTGGACATTTAACTGACTGAGCCACCCAGGTGCCCATTTTTTTTTTTAAGTAGGCTTCATACCCAGAGCAGAGCCCAACAGTGGCTTGAGCTCAAGACCCTGAGATCAAGACCTGAGCTGAGATCAAGAGTTGGATGCTTAACCAACTGAACCACCCAGGCGCCCCAATGGGGAGATATCTTGAGACTATCCTAATATGCTGTTCCTCATCACCTTATACTCACCTGCCTTAGCTGTCACAGCTCCCATGGGAATCAATAAACAGTAGGATGGTTCTCTCATATCAGCCCTCAACATTAGTAGGAATCTACTGAAGAAAGAGGCTTCCCTTCACCCCATGTATTTATTTAATCATTCCTTCATTCATTCATTCACTTCTATTCCTCAAAAGGATCCCTAAATTCTTGTATGATTTAATAGATTGCATTATGGTACAGTCATTTATCTGTTTTTATGTTCATGTAGTCCCAGATTGGCCAATAGAAGATCTGTATAGCTGCACGGTTTAACAAAAGGAGTCGTTGTAGGCTCATCTTGTGCTGTTCTCCATGTAGCCCTTGCATCCATCATTTCACCAAAGAATATCGATGCCTTCAAATGGAGGTTGGTTGCTAGACACTAAGAACTGTTTTTAGCTTTGTACATTGCTCCTAGTATGCCATTCCTTATGGGATCTCCCAGCAAAAAGCTCATGATTAGGTTTCATACACATGCACACATGCATGTCCATAATGAACTATGAGTTACTCACATTTGAATTCCTCCAAATCAAAACCAACCCCCAGGATTAATTCTAGCTTCTCTCTGTTCTCTGCCTATAAACAGTGACAAAGCTGTGCTACATTCACTTCAATATATTTCTTATTTGCTCAACCGTGATTTACATGCTCGAGGATCCCAATCTCGTAACTACTCTGCTTGCGTCCTCTGTCTGCTTTCTCCCATCCCCCCAGCACTCTCATGCAATGCAGGTTTCTTGCTACTGTTCCTGACATGGCTCTCCTATCTCCTCACCACCTGCGTCCCTGGATTGGTGGTGACTAAAACACTCAACGACATGGTTGCTTTGCCTACTCCTGCCCTCACTGCCCTGCATTCTAGAAGGATTCCTTCTACTACCTCTACTCTATTCTACCTACTACCTCTGCAGTTCTGCCAACTGCACGGCAGCCCGAGAGGGGAAGGACATGGCAAGAGAGGGATGAACATGGGAAAGAGGAGAGAAGAAGGTGTCACCCGAATTTCTGAAGGGCTTTCTCACTGGATGCAAAACTGTACACTGACCCTTGGCTTCTTTCCTTTCATTTGCCCAAGATTGCAGAGCTGGAGTGGGACAGGCTACAATCAAAGATAGATGGGTCTGGCAGCAACTTGTAAATGTAGAAGAATGATGGAATTAGAGTATTGTTGACTGGCAATTGCCATAGAGAAAGATTATTTGATAGTTGTTTTTTTGCTTTTGTTTTTGTTTTTGTTTTTTTAGTTCTCTGGCATTTTCATGTGGCCAGATCCAGAAGGATCCCACTTTACTTGAACCCAAAGTTGTTTTTGGTGGGAATTCATTTCAGTCCCTCAAAGTCATGATAGTTTCTGCCCTGACTTCCACCCTCTTGCATATCCTGCACTTTCCAGTCTACAAAATATGCTGCTTTGAACCATCCAAGGACAGGTCTTGGGCTTAGCATTTTTGTGTGGCTGTGACAGGCAGGCTCTCTCTTGATTCCACACACAATTTTACTGGAACCAGAGGCCTTAACTCTTGAAAGAACCCATCACTTCAAGCACCAGGGGAAGCATACATGGAGGTCACCAAATCTGTGGCACAAGCAAATGACTTGGATAATATAAGTATCTGCAATTGACACCAAATCCTCTCTCTGAAAGTCATCATTTCTGTAAGAAGGAAAACGAAATGGGAGTAGCTCTGTGGAAAGCAAGTGAAGGGAACTGAGGGGGGAAGGCAGAGGGTCTGAACACATCAAATGTTCCCACAGGAAAATCAACATCCGCAGAACCTAAATCATTGCTGTCGACTTAGATAAGTACAGGTCTACAATTGTTGGGGAAACTGTTCTCTTTACAGTGACTGTAACAAATTACTTGCTTGTTTATCCTTTTTATCTTTTTAATATATTTTTAATGTTTTATTTATTTTTGAGAGAGCAAGCAGGGGAGGGGCAGAGGGAGAAAGAGAGAGAGAGAGAGAGAGAGAGAGAGAGAGAGAGAGAGAGAGAGAATCCCAAACAGGCTCTGCGCTGTTAGCACAGAGCCCGACATGGGGCTTGCACTCATGAACTGTGAGATCGTGACCTGAACTAAGGTTAACTCAGAGGCTCAACCAACAGGGCCACAGATGGCTTGTTTATCCTTT